TTATTGCAGGTCGCAAAGCACACACAGCTTGCTACAGCATCGAAGCTCCTATAATAGCCACCACAGAGACCGTCATCAGGATTGTCGACCCGCCTAATGTGACTGCTCCTCCGCTTGTGCTTGTCGAGCTGGCACCCGTGCTGGGTCTTGTCGCCGTCGTCAATGGTACAGACCCGGTGGTGCTGATATCGGACGTGGTCAGCGCCGATGAGCTGAGAGTCTGAGAGACACTTGGCGTGCCGGGGAGGTTCGATGCGGTCTCGAGCGTCGAAGCGGTCGCAGCTGTGGCATCCCCGGTGATCTTTCCCGGTCCCCGACTTCCCGTCGCAGTGAAATACAGACTGACGGCGCTCTGGCTGACGGCCTGATCACTGGTCACTGTTGCGCCGGTGGTTGGGCTCGGGACCGACTCCTGGGCACTGCTGAAGACGCTCGCAAACTTCGCCGTCGGTGTGGGCACATCACAGAACGCGGTGGACGCCGTCGAGAGAACGCTCTTGTAGAATGCGACGTCGCGCTCTGATCGTAGACCATGGATGTACAGGCACTGTAAGCAGAAAGGCCACTCCGAAAAGTAGGTCCCGCCACACATGCCTTGAAATGGTACTGTTAGCAGCTAGGCTGACTATAGGGGCCTGGGTTTCTCATGTCGAGGGGCGGGTTGGAGGTGCTTGGTCCTAAGGGAAACGACATCGGATTCGTGCCACTACTTACACTCTTGATGGGCCTTGAGCGCCAAGGGATAGGAGCCATTCGGGCTGCATTTCTGCTCAATGACCTCAATGTTGAGACACGGGGGGACACTGCTCTCGGATCCGCCTGTCACTGGCTTGCAGACCACATCGTCGTAGTCACGCTCGGCGAAGAACGGTGTCGATAAGGTGGAAGCAGCGGCGTCCGGGTATGCGAGCGCGGATGCTCCAGCCGCAGCAAGGGAAAGCAGAAGGACTACTGATGATGACAGGCTGGAGCGCATCGTAGGATGGGGGGGGGACTGATCTCGCGCGCTCACGCCTTGGACGGCAATGAGAAGCTGAGAAGGAAAAGCCGACGCGGCGGCAATCTTGGGGAGGTGATGATATAACGACTGACCTCGTACGACTTCACGTGAAAACGGAGTGCCACACCAAGACCCGACGGGTGACCGGAAACTCGACCGTTAGGGGGAAACTGAACTGAACTGGGTGAAGAGATATACATGGTATCTCACCATCGCTGGGCCCCCAAGTATGAGTGCGAATTCCATGCTTGTTCAGGAGCCCGCGGGCCAAAAACTCCTTGTTCGCTCCCGCGTCCTCGTCTAACGGACTGCACTGTAACTTATCTGGGACGGTGATACCGCCCTCGAGATTGGATTCACGCCTGCTCGAGTTCAAGAGCCAGTCCAGAGATGCGGTCTAAGCGACGTGTTTGCGGGCCATTTTTGCCGGCATTGATGTGCGCGGAGCCGGCAGTGCCGTCCCAGCGGAACGAGGCGAGAAGAAAGGCAAATGGGTTGGAGTTGAGGTGAGTGCTGGCGGGTTCAAGTTGCCAAGCTAAACTGCATGCATGAAGGAATTTAAAGTCATCTTTGCTCGCTGCCCTGTCCGGAGACGAGACTCGCAGAGTTCTGCTTTTCATGTTGTTGGGCGTGGATGATCGGCTGGTTCCCGAAGCGAGACATTGAAGATCTGGGGAAGGAGAGGGGGAGGCCTGTGTGAGGGAAGAAAGTTGGCAGGTACCTGCCAGGTACATTACTATACGTACGCGATACATGAGGTGTCCATACTGTAACGCGTATTGTGCCCTAGTACGTAACCTATACGTGTATCCGTACACCGTACACCGTAACCAGACCTCGATTTAATCCTCTAACATGAACCGCTCCTTCCTTCCCATGTTCTTCTGTCTGTGTCTGGCAGCTGCGCAAGGCCAACCTAGAATCCGAAAAGTTTCCTATTGTTTCTTTCAATGTCTATCGCTACTTGAACTTGAAGAACCGACCGCCTTCAACTTCATTATCCTGCCTCCTGCTCTCTTCTCTCGCTAATACGAGCCGTAGGTTGTCTTTCCATGCACAACTTCTAGTGTAATCAGAAAGGTAGAGCTACGCGTGGTACAGTACATAGCGCCTACCCTGTCGAGCCTGTGAAGCGACAACTGGCAAGCAATTTAAATCCCTGCCCAGGCCGTTCCTCCTGAGCTCCTCCACTTGTCTGCGTTGCATGGCTTGCTCACGACACCACCAACCAAGGCTCAAGCCACGCAACGGCATTCCCCATCAACGCTGTTTTGGCTGCTGCACAACCCAAACGCAAATACTCTTGGCGTGGGAGAAATCGTCGATTGCCAAATCTAGATAGTCCACTGTCTTCAAGTGCAGCGGGATGGCACCTCACCCACACAATACCCCCCCATCATGGTGGTACACACAGATAAACCACCACCATCTTCGCCCGGAGACGACGATAGCAGAGACGTCCATTGGTCTCAAGGTCGCCTGTTCTGTTGGTCATGCCCTGGGGTTGTATGCACAGCATCCCTAGTCCCAGGATCTTGCTAGGTACATAGATTGACAGCCAGACAGTCGGATCGGGGCCTACCTCTGCTGCTCACTTGAGATAGGCGGTAGCCTGACTGCCCTCGTAAGATGTCTTTTTCTTTCACCAAAACATTCAATTCAAACAAGGTCTGTCTTGTCGCATCTCGTCGCTCGTTGGGCCCTTTGGAGTCTACCTCTTCATCCGGCCATGATTCGCTCGCTCTCGATATGATTTGTATCTGAATCTCGAGTTTGCATCGCTGTTGTCTTGATTTCACCATGCCCGCGCTCTTCCGAATCCTCGTCGCCAGCTGGCTGCTTGTCAGTGCTTCGGCTGTCCGTGAGCGCTTCCAGGCTGTCGAAACCGGCGCCGTCGCATTATCGCCCCGAGAGTATCAAGCATTTCCACCAAGCCCTCTTGCAAAGCGTCAGGATAACTGCGAGCCAAACCATCATTCATGTGAGCGACCATTGTTGATTTAATATGTGACCAAACCTGATAGTCTGGAATGTAGGCAGTGATCTAGGCGCTCTTGGCAACGGTGTTTGCTGTTCTGATGAAACATAGTAAGTGTATTTATCGGATCCTTATGAAGCCAGTTGAAGCTCGAGACATGGGCCTTTATGCACTACATTCATGGCAGTACGGTTCGAAGTGATGCCGTGTTGTTCCAGATATTCCATCTCGACTCGCACCGTCTGCAGCGCAACATATACTCTTGGTGGTGCTCTCACTTCGTAGGACTTCTCCTTACCACATGCTAATTCTCATCTCATAGCTGCATCGTTAATGCTACCGACGCCAGCAAGGCAGCGTGTTGTCCCATCGGCTCCAACTGTGACTCGCCATGTTCTTCGAATCGGTATCAATGCAACACCACCCAGACCATCACGTCGGGTGATGTGACCAAGACATCCACCTCTTTGGCATGCTGCGGCCGCGTGTGTCCTTCGACGTCCATGTTTGGTTGCCCACAGTCCTACGGAGGCGGCTGCTGTCGATACGGCGAGACATGCGCCCCTTCGAGTAGATGCATCCCCACCACCACCGCGAGCGCTTCCGTTAGCCCCATAGTCTCGTTATTCCCCTCTGGCTGCACCACTAGCCAAATAGCATGTCCCTCGACTATCGGAGGCTGCTGTGCCGTGACACAGAGCTGCACTCTCGTCAATGGTGCAGCGGCCTGTGCCGATATAACCTTCTTCCCAACCGCAAGCGGGCTGGTTGCAGTCGCCGCGGACACTGGTCTGAGTGCTGGCGCAAAGGCGGGAATAAGTGTCGGCGTTATCGTCGGCTGCGGGCTGGTGATCGGCGCTGTAACATGGTGGATTATACGGTCTCGAAGACAGAGGAGCGAGCGGGACAGCAGCTACCACCGACCAAGACCTACCGGTGTCGTTGGCACATATATCGGGGGTGGAGGAAGGGATATGTCGGAAGAGGCATCCGACGTGATGTCCCGGACCGGCCCGCCACCTGGCATGAACCAGGACTATCTTGGCCCCTACTCCGAAGAACCTCACACACCAGTCAGGCACTCGCTTGATTTTGATAGGGGCGGTGTCCCTGTCCAGCCCCACGGGCCCAGCGACATAGCGGCACCCGTGGAGATCGACTCGGGAGCCAGAGCGGATCAACCGCCATCCGACAACGCTGTTCAGAGACCGGTCGAGCAGAGCACAGGTGCTTCGTGGGTAAATCCACACGCATCCCAAACGCAGGAGGATACTCAAGAACGGTTCGAGCTTTACGGGTCGGGTCCCTCGTCTGAAGGGTACCTCCCATCGCCTGACACGGGGTTGACGCATACCCCGTCTGATGACAGATCACGATATATTGCTAGCGATGAAGGGAGATCGCACTCAGGTAACTGACGGGTTGAGACAGTGCGATGTAGGAACATTTGGTACCGACACGTAATGAGAATCATGCAAGGCAGCGCATCCTTTGATGCATGTTGGATATATCTGCTTCGTACTGCATGGCTGGTGGTCGTGATGCGGGTTTGCATTCACTCCTGAGGGCAACAATCTCACCCCTTTCTTACTGCAACTGTATTTTTGTGTAAGTACCTAGTCAACAGTGCCGGCACAAAGACTTGGAATTGGTAAGTGATGTTTTTTCAGCAGACTTCGATATGCTACTGGGCTCAGCTCTGCTTTCCACAATCTTCTCTTGTCGTTTGCGAAAACTGCCGGCCATTATCAAACCTCCATGCGTGAAAGCTACTGTAAGCCTCCTCTACCACCCAAACATTTGCAACATAATTAGGTCAAAGTAGACCATGCTCAACGAGGCCTCAATGATTGCGCATGGTCTACGACCTCCACAGCCCGCCTGGGGAACTTCCCCCTATCGACCCCTCTTACATATCCCGAATATCCTATCGAGATCTTTGGCACACATGCAGAGACCGTTATCTACAGCGGTAGCCACTCACCACCTCAACAAATCACGATCCACTCCTGATTCAGTTCATCCGGTGTGGTGTAGCGGTAACATTGTTGACTCTCATCTGCTTCTAGCAAATAGATCTCAATAGCCCGGGGTTCGATTCCCCGCTCCGGAATGTCAATGTTTCTTTTTTTTGTCTTCTTTTATCTTTTTGATATCTTTGCCTTGGTGCTGTTATAATGGTCTTGTTTGGGATAATGCAAGCTAGGTTTTATATATATATTTTTTGCACTACATGGTAGTCTGTTTCATTTTGTTTTTCAGCGCATGTGTAGGTAAATTTCAATGCACGCACGCTCTCATGTTCTAATTTGCAACAACATGCAAAGACTTGCCATATGATCGCTTCGCGCAACACAAGCTACTCTCCAAACAAACAGATTTGCAAAAATGTATTGCCGCCAACAGGGAAACAAACCGCAAGGTATGCCATCCAGAGAAAATTACCATCAAGAGATGTATAGAGTATGCGAGTACCTAGTAAAACGCCAGTCTCCTGTATATACCGGGCCCATCTGCCCCAGCGCATAAAGACGAAAGAAAACACAAGCTATTTTCCCGCTGCTCGCTTCCCTGGGAAATAATGCTATCGACAGCCACAAAATGCACAATGGTGTTACATGTAGTCGAACAAAGATATTTTTTCTCTCCGTCAATTTTGAGACAAGAAGGAAAATCCGGACCAAGGGGGTAACAAACACATCCAGAACGCCAAAGCCAAATCTCATTCATCATGTTACCCCTTCCACCCGAGCAAATGGATCCGAGAGGCAAGCCACCTCTCGCTGACACCGGTACCGCAAAACTTGAAAAAGAAAAGGAATACGGCAGTTTTACACCCCTCGGCGCTGGTCGTCGCAATCTCTTCAGCTTAGAATGCCGCCAAACGGCTTATACGTATCCAAGTCCTTCAGGAGCTGGTCGACCACGCCGGGGAGGTAGCGGTCGACATACTGCTTCTTGGCCTCGACGGACAGGGTAGCGCTGCTCTCGCTGGTGGGCCTCTCGCGGCCGTCCATCTGGTTGCTGCGTCCAAAGACCTTTGCAAGCTTGCTCGGGCTGCGCTGGAGGAGGCCGCCGCCGCCGCCCTGGGCCGCCACGCCGTTGCCGCGGCCGTCGGCCTTGGGGATGGACGGCGTCTCGGGCGTGAGGTAGAAGTAGAGGAACTCGGTCAGCTTGAATCTGACCTCGCGCGGCATCTCGTTGTCCTTGAACAGGGACGTGATGGTCAGCAAGCCGTCGAGGCGCTCGAACACGCGCGTGTTCTGGGGTGAGTCGAGGAGGGCGACGACGAGGGTTATGATGGTGGCGCATTGGACTGCCGGGCAGTTTACGGGCTCGATGAGATCCAGGAGGAGCTGTTGGCGAGGGCATGGTTAGTATGTTGAGGAGTGGCATATTTTTTGGGGGGGTTTTTAGGATGGCAGCAGGCTTACATTCATGTGCATGCTGCGCGAGAAGAGCACCTTGCTGGGCGGGTGCAGAAGCAGGACACCCTGGATCAGGTCCAGCGCATTGACGACCAGGAGGTCGTACTGGCCGTCGCCGCCGCGCGCAACCAGCCAGTCGAGCGTCGGCAGCAGGCGCTGCGCAATGTTCCACTCGAAGCCGTCCTGGAGCTTGAAGAACTCGCGGAAGGCCGGGTCGCCGCCCAGGTCGGCCAGAACTTTGCGTGGCGGGGACTCGCCATCCCTAGCCGGCTCCGTTGGTGCGGCGGCGGCTGATTTCTTGTTGTTGGGCCCCGAGAGGCAGATCTGGGCGAGCAGGCCCTCGACTTGCTTCAGGCCCTTTCTGATCTTGACACCATCGTAGGACGACAGGTTGTCGAATGCTAGGGATAACAGAGATTCCATTGGGGCGTCTGTGGTGGTGGTATCTGGGGCGGCAGTGGTGAGGTGGGGTTTCGTGGTCAAGGTTGGTGGATGACGTTGATTGCGCGAGCGCAGTGTTGCGCAAAGTGTCGCAAACAGGCACTACCCTGTGATATGGTGCGGTCGCGCAAGACGGGTAGATGGTGTCGTCGATTGGGTTATGGATATGTTTTTTTTTGTCGGTGATACTCGGCCAATGTCCGATGCACAACGGCAATCAGACCAGAAGCCCTATGGAGCCAGACAGCCGGTACGGAGAGCGTTGGCGCAAACTGGATGGAAGATGGGATTGTGACAACAATAGGCGGGACCTGCTGAGATGTGGATGTCTGTGTCAAGGTAGTGACGTGACGAAGGCGAGCTGCAGTGGAGTTGGTCGGAGCTCTGGGACGGGAAGCAAACACAAAGACAAACAAACAGGACAGGAAGGACCGAACAACTAGCGATGGAGTAAAAGTGAAGGCAAGTAAGTGTTCTTGGGAAGTGAAGCTGACTCGAGAATTACTTTACTGTCCTTCTCCTTTGCTCAAGGTGCCGCCCTGTCCTGGTTTACCACTTTCCATTTCAAGGTCCAGGTCCAGGGCAAAGCATTGGGTGTGATAAGTGCCATGGCAACGCGGGCGATAACGTCGACGATCCTGGCCGTACCGGGCTGGCCCATCAATGCGCGGCGGCCCTGCTAGGCTTAAGCCGGGACGCCTGGGGAAAGTGGGGTTGGGGCTGGCTGCAGTCTGCAGGGCAGGAGCGCTGATCGATCCCAAGGCATGCACTGCGGGACAGCTACGACGCCAAAAAAGAAATAGGTAGATTAACATGCACCAGGCGGGTACCAGGTAACCAGAGGATGAAACGCACGGCCGAGACTGAAGAATGGAAGAGACTGCACTGTCTCTTCCCAACTTTTGGTTTTGTTGGTTTAAGATGCAGCGACAAGGGAGAGGGAGCGAAAGAGAGGAGTTTGGTTCTAGTTGCGCTCGGGTCATCGCACCTCAGTACCCAACTGATGCCTACAGTAGGTTGTCCCACAACTACCTGATCAACCTGGAAATCTAAGGGGCTTAGACTCCGACGGCCTCCATCTTGGGACGACCGGCGGATTGCAGCGGGATGGAAAGCTGAAAGCATGAGCTCCATGTATAAGTTCCAGTTTGACCGAGTCAGAAGCGCCGACCAGTTCCCCGGAATATCAGCATTCAGCAACGGATCACGACCGAGCATCCTTAGGTGGTCGTTGTAGTGTAGGTACCTGAGGTGCCGGGCTGCTTGTACCTACAGCTTCCATCCTGGTGCCCCGCCTTTCCCCGCCATCTTCAACCACCTCGCAGTCAGGTCGCTCTACCCGGTCTTGATCTCGTGTCATTCATGCCCTTGGGACCTGGTCAATTGGCTGAGGCGAGTCGCGAGAATGTGCTGTCGTCTTCTCAGCTATTGCATCTCGTCTCTGTCCAAGGCCATGGCCATGTCTGCGAAATGGCCATATATATAGTAGGCCTTCTCCGCAAAACACGGGGCTAACTCAAGGATTGCAGCAGCAGCTCCAAGCACCAGGTACAGGTCGTCAATCCAAGCTCCAGCTCCAGGCACCTTGTGTCGTCGCAGTCACCTCATCACATTGAAACGTCACACCTCGATTTTATACCGACCTTTCCTGCCTTGCCTTGCCGGACGTGGACGTGGGATCTGGCCCAGCTTCCAGTTTCCATTCTACCTTACCTGCCAGGTACCTGGTATTAACCTGACCTGACAAGGTCCGCTACTTGAAGCACCGACCACCTGCTTTGCCTGCTTGCTGCCTTCCAGGTTGCCTTCCATCTCCATCAGCTGTTTTGGCTTCCACCAGGCTCCAAACTTAGAAATCGCCCCCAACGGCTCTTTCCTCGTGCCGGGCCCTTCTCTCGCTTTTCTGATGTCTGTGGTGTCTCAACGGCCCTCGCAGAAAGAACACGTAGCCATGGCCGTGTCGTCTTCCCTTTCAACTACCATCCCCGCCTCGACCACAAGCCAGTATCACTTCTCACCAGCTGCAATCCCGCCCCGCACCTCGTCCACCTTCTCGACGGCCGCCTCAACCACCACCACGGCCACCACAGCAGCCGGCTACACGCCCGCCGCCCTGCTGCCCAATCCCTTAAAAGCACATCCACTCCGGGTTGTCCCTGAATCCGACTGGCTATCGGGATCCACCGTTGCTATCGGCGGCCTGCCCCAGTCTGCGCAAATCCAGATCCCCACACGCCGTCGGAGTCGCAAGGCCTCGGCAGCTTCCGCTGTTGGTGCTGCGACCATCGTCTCATCCCGCACCACTGCAATGGCGCACCAAGCGCAGCCCCCCCCCGACCCGGACCGCTTTGCAGACGCCGACTTCTCGGGGGCCAAAAGAGTGTGGCCGGACGAGAAGGAGAAGATTCTCACCGGTCCTTACGATTACCTCAATGCCCAGCCGGGCAAGGATTTCCGCGCACAGCTGGTAAAGGCATTCGATGCCTGGCTGGAGGTCCCTCCAGAGAGCCTCGAGGTCATCACCAAGGTGGTTGGCATGCTGCATACGGCCTCGCTGCTGGTCGACGATGTAGAGGACAGCAGTCTCCTGCGCCGGGGGCTCCCGGTGGCCCACTCCATCTATGGTGTTGCGCAAACCATCAACAGCTCAAACTACATCTACTTCTGCGCTCTCCAGGAGCTCCAGAAGCTCAAAAACCCGAAGGGCATCTCCTTCTTCGCCGAGGAGCTGCTTAACCTGCACCGCGGACAGGGCATGGACCTCTTCTGGCGCGACTCGCTGACCTGCCCCACCGAGGACGAGTACCTGGAGATGGTGGGCAACAAGACGGGCGGCCTCTTCCGGCTGGGCATCAAGCTAATGCAGGCCGAGTCTCGGAGCCTGGCCGACTGCATCCCGCTGGTCAACATCATCGGGCTCATCTTCCAGATCCTCGACGACTACCAGAACCTGTGGAGCAAGGAGTACACGGCCAACAAGGGCATGTGCGAGGACCTGACCGAGGGCAAATTCAGCTTCCCCGTCATTCACAGCATCCGCTCCGACCCCGTCAATCTCCAGCTGCTCAACATTCTCAAGCAAAAGACGGAGAACGAGGAGGTCAAGCGGTACGCTGTCAAGTACATGGAGAGTACCGGCAGCTTTGAGTACACGCGCAAGGTGCTTGCCGTGCTGATTGAGCGCGCGCGCAAGATGGCCGATCAGATTGACGATGGGAGGGGGAAGAGTCAGGGGATTCACAAG